TCCTCCTCCTCCTCCTCCTCCTCCTCCTACCTCCTAGGAGGAGAACAGGACATGGAGGAGGGCGGGGGGCAACAGGGGGCATGTCGACCCCTCCTCTCCCAGGCGTTGTGGACTCTGCGGGTGGACACAGAAACTTGGAGCCCAACCCCGGGATGCGCGGGGGGAGGGCCCATCCTCGTCCTCCTCCTCCTCCTCCTCCTCCTCCTCCTCCTCCTCCTCCTCCTCCTCCTCCTCCTCCTCCTCCTCCTCCTCCTCCTCCTCCTCGACGGGGGTGCGCCCGAATAGCCTCCTGGGGGTGTCTCCCAGGGTGCCCCTCCTTCTCTCAGCGGTGACAGGTGTCGCCGAAAAGCCGGGGGCCGGGGGAGAACATCGCCCGCGAGGCGAGGGGGGGCCCACGGACGCCCTCCGCGAACACCCGACAACCTCGGGAATAAATCTGCAAGCCTCGCAAGCCATCCACAAACCTCCGCAAAGAACCCCTGCGCCGAAACACTCCGAAAGCACCCGCGGACGCCTGAAAACCGTCGCAAACCTTTGGAAGCCGCCGAAACCCACCGGGAACCCCTTCGGATCTCCCGCCGCTTGCGGTCCACGAAGGTGCCGTCGTTATTGTCGACGCCACCGCAGTCGTCGTCGTCGTCGTCGTCGTCGTCGTCGTCGTCGTCGTCGTCGTCGTCGTCGTCGTCGTCGTCGTGGCCGTCGCCGTCGTCATCGTCGTCTTCGTCGACCTCGTCGTTGTTGTCGTCGTCGACACCGCCGCCGTCGACGTCGTCGTCTGCGGGCGGCTCCCACCCTTTGAGGTCCACGCCGGTGACATCGACGCCGTGCACGATGCTTATGCTGCCTGGCCACTGGCTCCGACACTGCGCCACGTGCTCCTGCAGGCCTCCCAAGGACCGCGCAGCCGCCGCCGCAGCCGCCATGGTCATCGTCCTTCTACTCGTCGCTGGCACCTCCTTCACCTCGTCCTCCTCCTCATCCTCCTCCTCCTCCTCCTCCTCCTCCTCCTCTCAGTGACTGCAGGAGCTCAGCAGGGCCTGCGGTTTTCAGCTTATCTGGCAGGAATCCAAAGCAGCCCCAGGACGACCACACATGGTCGATGGCTTTGCTGAATGGTGGGGCTTAGTTCGCACACCAGCCTGGAGAGGTGCGCAGCTCTGCGTCGACATGCCAACGATCCTGCTCAACAGGCAGCAAATCTTAATCATGCTCGGTCACATTGTCGTGAAGCAGAGCACCTCGACGCAGCTGAGCAGTCTGGCAAAGAGTGCTGAGGATCGTGCTTGCTGGCTACGGTGGGCCAGCGCAGTTGCCAGCTCCTCGGATGCCGAGCTGCAGGATCTCGTTTCGCTCACCGGGAGGCTGGCAGGCAGAGCCCAAGGCAGAGCAATGTACAAGCGTCGCAGCGAGTTTGGTTCCTGGGCCAAGGCACCGTGGAAGCTAACGCCAGGCAGGTTACACGCCCTGGTCAAGCCTGCTGGCCCAATCGCACATCCACCTCTTGCCGGAGGCAAAGCGCTGGCTGACCCTGCCAGCCAGATGGAGCACAAACGAAGCAGTTGGGAAAAGTTGTGGACAGATGCCGTGGACACGCCCGACGACATCCTCCAGACCATGGATCATTTACGGAGGCTAGCGGCTGATGGCCCTCTTTCTCCCTTCGACCTGGACAGAGTAGATGATCTGGTCAGGAAGTGACCTACAAAGGCATCGGGAGTGGACGCACTCACACCGAAAGATATCCAAAGGCTCCCTCCTGCGGGTCGACTGGAGTTTAGGCAGGTATTGGAAGACATCGAATCCGCAGGTGTTTGGCCCGCACTTCAGATGGGCATGATCGGAGCGTTGCTGCCAAAACCCAAAGGAGGCGAGAGGGTGCCCTGCGAGGCCGAAGGCAGACAGTGCCGCGATCCGAGCTGCAGGCTTTCGCCATGGCCTTGGAGCAAACCTCTGGACACATCGCGTACGTAACCGACCATGTCCCTGCTATTGTCGGGTTGGGAGCGGGGGAGGGCTCGGAACACTGTTGGCTCTGATTCGGACATGTTCCCTCGCTCGTGCTCCCTCTCCTCCTCCTCCTCCTCCTCCTCCTCCTCTTCCTCCTTCTCCTCCTCCTCCGCCTCTTCCTCCTCCTTCGCCGCCTCTTCCTCCTCTTCCTCCGCCTCCTCATCGTGTTCCTTCCTCGGAACACTGTTGGCTCTAATTCGAGCAAGCGGCTGAGAATTAAGACCGCCGTTGACAACAAAAAGGAAGGCTCCGTCAGTGTCGTTTGGGCCCCCTCGCGTGTCACGGAAGGCAATCTTGAATCGAGTGACCAAGAGAAGTTTTTAGCGGCTGGCGCTCGGTTGGCTGGCGAGGCGGCTATGGAGGCTGCATCCAGGGCGTGGGCTCTCAGTCTGGTCGGACCTGAACCCAAGACTGATCTGTGGGTTATCTCGCGGTCCCGTTCGCGGCCGTTTTCTGGGGATGTCTGAAGCGGTTTGCCTGTTTTCTGTCCCGACATCCTTCGCTTTCGGAGCAGATTTGGAGGTTGTCTCGAGCGAGCACTCATGTTCAACCCCCAGGTGGGCCAGAGTTTGAGGACGTCTCGATCGGTGGCCAGACTCGTGGGCACAGATTCTCCTCAGGATGCCAGTCGCCTCCGTGGGGCGCAGAGCCCGAAGGGCCCTGGCCGAACTCTGCCGCCGCCGACCCGCGTAAGGACCCCTTCCTTGGACACAGCCTGCCCCGGCCCCGAGGTGGCCAGAAGAGGCCCCAGACCAGAAATCGCCGTTCGGAACTCCTCCCACCTAAGGAACCCTAAAGAAGGAACGGGGCCCCTTTCTCCCATAGGTTGAACTTCGATTTCCCATGGAGAACCTCCGGAGAACATAAGGCAAACTGTCGAACCATCAAGGAACACCGAGCCTCTCCCCAACGAAAAGGGTTCCTTCGCCAGGGCCCCGGCTGTAGGCAAAGTGCTTCGTTGCAGTAAGTGCGGCTCTCTTTCGTCCGAGGAGGCCCTCGTCGAAGTCTGCAAGACTAGTTGCGGTTTCCCAGGGACGTGGTCCTCCAGTCTCGGGGTCCTGTGGAGGTTCGCGGGACCGTGCTGCATGGATCCCACTCCCTGGCCCGCTGGGACCTGCCTGGTCTGCTTTTCGTTGTCGGGTGTGGCCGTGCGGCCACGACCGAAGGCTGCCGGCTCGCTCGAGAGTGCCCCCGCCCATCGCTCGCAGAGGTCGGGAGATCTTGGGGCGCATCAAGAAGGGACTCTCCTCTTCCTCCTCCTCCCTCCCTCCCTCCCTCCCCCTCCCTCCCTCCCTCCTCCTCCTCCTCCTCTCCTCCTCCTCCTCCTCCTCCCTCCTCCCTCCTCCCCTCCCTCCCTCCGCCTCCCTCCCTCCCCCTCCCTCCCTCCCCTCCCTCCCTCCCTCCCTCCCCCTCCCTCCTCCCCCCCTCCCTCCTCCCCTCCTCCTCCTCCTCCTCCTCCTCCTCCTCCTCCCCTCCTCCTCCTGAGGACATCGCTCGCGCGCGAGTGTGGTGTGCTGCTGCACTTGAGGCCGAGCAGCGGGCCGCCAGGAAGCCTCTCCCCCCTTTCGTGGCGGCCCCTGGCCACCCTCCCTGCGGGAGGGGGCGACGGGCCGGGGGGGGGGGAGGAGGAGGAGGAGAGGAGGAGGAGGAGGAGGAGGAGGAGGAGGAGGAGGAGGAGGAGGAGGAGGAGGAGAAGGAGGAGTGGGAGGAGGAGGAGGAGGAGGAGGAGGAGGAGGAGGGGTTCTGGCTTCTCTTCCTTCTTTCCCCTCTCTGTCCCCCTTCCTCCGCACGCTGTGCTCTTACAGAGGGTCCAAAGAGTCCTCCTCTCGATGGCTCCGCTCTCCTCCTCGCTCCTTGTCCTTCTCAACCTCCCCCTCGTCCGTGCTCGTCCTCCCTCGCACCTCCTCCTCCTCCTCCTCCTCCTCCTCCTCCTCCTCCTTGTTTCTCCTCGCTCCTGATCGCTCCTCCTCGCTCCTCAGCCGACTGTCAAAGATACGACAACAGCCTCAAGCCACTGTATGCTGTCATGGGGATCATCACTGCCAACCCCGTCACCAGCATCGTCAACCTCATGCTGACCACCTGCACGATCCGACCACCACCATTACCACCATCACTGCCACAACCACCACCACCACCACCTACATCATACTGACCACCATCACAAGTTCCCACCACCACGTCATCGTCATAAACAACTAGAACACACAGGACAGCAACCAGCATCAGCATCATCGTCATCATCACCACCACCACCATAGTCATCATCACCATCCTCAACCCCACCACCACCACCACCACCACCATCATCATCATCATCATCATCATCATCATCATCATCAACATCAGCATCATAAACATAGTCAAAGTCATCAGCATCATCATCAGAAGCAGCAGCTGCGTCATCATCATCCTCATCATCATTATGAACGTCACCATCATCATCAGCACCATCAGCTGCATCAACCTCATCATGATCATCACCATCGTCACCAGCAGCATCATCATCATAGTCATCATCATCGTCAGCGTCGTCATCATCATCGTCGTCGTCATCATCAGCATCATCATCGTATCCTCATCCTCATCCTCACCCTCCTCGTCATCGTCGTCACTGTCGTCCGTTTGCCCCCCTCTCGTCTGCCAGTGAGGTGTAGGCGCGCGCGCGCGGCACGGGGTGGTGAGCGGGAGACAGGCGCCGGCAGCTGCCGTGCGAGGAGGGACCGAGGAGGTGCATGGCGGCAGCGAGCAAGAGGAAGGGCTGAAAAGAGAGAGAGAGAGAGAGAGGAACGAAGAGGGGAGTGTGGAAGGAGGGCGAGAGCAAGAGGGCAGAAGAGGGAGAAGCAAGGAGGAAAGCACTGGAGGGAGAGGGAGGCAGCGAGGGCGCGAGAAGAGGGAGAGCGGGAGGGGAGAGCGGGAGGGAGCGACGGGGGAATAGAGGGATGAAGGGAGCAGGGGCAGATGCAAGCATGAAGGGAGGAGCGAGGAAGAGGAGGTGCAACGAGGGAGTGGCCAAAGGGGCACGCGCACGGGGGGGCGAGGGGAGAACCGCCTGCCGCCTCGGCATCCGCCTCCTCACCATCCACACGTTCCGCCGCCTCTGCCCATTGCTTCCTCGCATCAGAACCTGGCCCGACTCCTCCGCGGCAGCGTCCTCGTACTCCTGCTCCTGCGCCTCCTCCTCCTGCTCCTCAGCCTCCTCCTCCTGCTCTTCCTCCTCCTCCTCCTCCTACTCGTCATCCCACTCCTGGTCCTCGTGTTGCGTATTCCCATCCTCCTCCGCCTCCGTACCCGCCTCCGCCTCCCCACCATCCTGCTATGCTCCAGCTTATCCAACCCTCTACTCCCCCATGCCACATCTTATTCATCGTCGTCGTCGGTATCGTCGTCGTCATCATCAGCGCCAGCATCATCATCGCCATCATCGTGACCCCATCATGGCCACCATTACCATCAGCAGCATCATCAGCAGCATTATCAGCAGCAACATCATCGGCACCATCCTGATCACCATCACCATCACCAACAACAACATCAATTGGAACCATCAACGTCAGTAGCCGCATCAGCATCAGCATCAGCATCAGCATCATCAGCGTCAGCATCAGCAATACTCGTAAGCAGCATCATAACCATCATCATCAGCAGCATTGTCCTCGTCATCGTCATCGTCGACGTCAGCACCGCAAGTGTCATCTGCAGCATCATCAGCATCAGAAGCAGTATCAGCATCAGTAAAATGATCATCGCCATGATCATCGTCACCATCAGCGTCATCCGCATCATCGTTAGCATCAGCATCAGCATCAACATCGTCATCGTCATCATCATCAGCATCAGCATCGCCGTAATCAACAACGCCATCATCATCACCATCAC